GGGGGGGGGGGGGGGGGGGGGAGTCAATCTCGTTCCCTGAGCCTGCGATCCTCAGGAAGGAACGCGAAGCTCTGGGATAATCCGTTTCAGGGGGGAATCTGATTGGCCGTTGAAATGGAATGCACAGTTCAATCTTAGCCAGAATTTCTGGCTTCCGGCAACGGATTATCCCAAAGCTTCGCGTTCCTTCCCAAGGATTGCAGGCTCGAGGAACGAGATTGGGGGGGGAGTGTGAATCTTTGCTCAAACAACCCAATGATAAACCACATGTTCATAAACCACATGTTCATAACACTATGCTATAAAAATGAATTGGGTTATTCCAGGTCCACACTCCTCTTACGGAGGAAATTTCTGCCATCCAGCAAGGGAGGGGACAGAAACTAGTGCTACTATAGTAAAATGTACTAGGACATCCGAAAGGCATAGCGTTAACTTCCAATTTCCTTAGTTGGAGAGGTGTGGATATTTTCTGGAATAAGTCATTGTACAAATAATGAGAATGACATTCTCAACATTGTATGTTCTCCTATACTATAGATCAACCTTCAAAAAATATCTACAAAATGAAATTAATTAAAAACCAAACCCTGACATGTTCAAAACCATAATTAATTTAATGTTTACAACATTCTTACAAACATACAATTATAAACGGATTTGATCGACCATTGGGAATAACTATTAAAGGCATTGAATAGAAAATTTATCACAATTAAAATATGAATGATTCTTATACAATTCACTATTTTGGGTTTCATATAAACTGTAATAAACATACATTTTTCGCCAAGAAACACAATCGGACAACTTACCTACAGTGCTATTTACCACTCGATAATTTCATGAACATATATTGTATATTTTGATCCAAAAATCAGGGCGTTGATGGCTAGGAAATAAGAAACACTTCTTGTTTCTAAACCACGAGGATGACCTGATCGATGGCGATGCGGAAAGAAAGCTAATCGAAGCAATGCGCATGATTCTGCTTGAGAGGGCCTGAGAACGAAAGCCAAACACGAGACAAAAGAAAACGAAAAAAGCCAAAGTCTGGTTTTAAAAATTTATTTATTGGCAATTTTCTTTCAGAAAAGACAGAAAACTATTTGTCTATTTTAATAAACACATATCTTGCAGTCTCAAACATTCAGAAGTATACCACAATTCTTCCTTGATTCTATCAAATATCTTCCAATTAAGTTTCTTTGTTTCACCAGAGAGAAAGAAATACTTTATCTTATTGTACTATACACTATAAAGCTGCACAAAACAACATATAACATTATAATAACAAATATATAAATAAAATTTATAAACTATCAAAAAACTTACAAAAAAACTAACTAGTTAATTTTTAATTTCATACAAACGCGGTTGGAGACCTGGACCGAGCTTCACATAAACACCAAAACGCGGGAATATTTAGCGGGAAAGAAGGAAGCTTGATTGCTGAAGTTGAACAAAGTTTCTGACTTTTTGAACTACTAGATTTGACTTTCCATCATCGGAATGGCTGCTGTAGAAGACGAACAACCTTCTTCATCAACTTCTACGTTTAGGTGTGTGAATTTAATGGTCTTTATTTCGAACAAGGGTCAATCGATTTTGAACAAGCTTAATTTGAACAAGGGTCAACTCGGAAGTCTACAAATTTGTACTTGACAGTACAAATTTGTAGACTTTTTCACGACATTTTAAAATACTACAACTAACTTTTGTGCTACGAATTCTTTGGTTTAGTAAAGATGAAGTGAACAAACTGATGAGTCAAGGCAAACGACATTTTGTGTGCAATGAAATTGTTGAAGCAGTGAAATCCTTTGAAGTTGCATGCCTCATGTTGTAAGTATGAAATATGCGTGTCTCACATGGGTAATCGGTCATTTCGCCAACTGTCAGTTCGCCAACGTCTCGGGTCGATTCGCCAACATTCCCCCACGTTCTTATGTCAGTTCGCCAACGCAACATTTAATCATGGATTGTAAAATATTAAAACAATCCATGGTTTACAATTATTTTACAATCCATGGTTATAGTTCAAGTCTTTATATTGTGAAACCATGGAACACAAACAATGTTTGTAGAAAATATGTTGGTGATCAAAATTAATTACCGTGGATGTCCTTGGTTATTGTTGTATGCTCTATTGTGGAATTTTGTTAGTGCAGAGTATGGTTAATCTTCTTCAGTTGTGTTTACTTGAATGGTATATCATATGCATAAAAACTTTTATAAAATAACATGTATATAACGCGTATTCTGATTGGTCGAAAGCCGTGTTTGGATCAGGCCATCCAAACACGGAAGACTACCGTGTTGTTGTTATTTTATAAAACAATTACTTTATGGTTTCCGTGTTTGGATGGACTGATCCAAACACTTGGAA